CACTTTTGGGTGAGATCCACAAGTACATCAGGTTAAAAACCAAATTAACTTACTATTTATAATCAAGTACAATTATAAAATTTTACGAATACCTTTATTATTATTAAAATTTAAGTAATTTTCAAATAAATATTTCAAAGTCAAATACATAATAATTGCAAATCAAATCCTCAACTTTCTAATAAATTCAAAAGAATTTAATCAAGTCTTAATCAAATCGAAATTGACTCTAATAAATATCTGTCACATGCCTGATTCCCAATATCTTTAGTATCATTACTAAAATGGTGGACAAGAAAAAAAAAGGTAAGATATACTCTTAGCAAGTGAATGTTAGGCTTCTTCTCTTTATTGATCAATTTAAAAAATGAGCATGCTAACAAGAATAAATCAAGTGTTAAGAAAACTGGTATAAGTACAAAAAATAAAATAGATATTTTTTCTATAAATCATAGTCAGCATTTATAATTTTCTTATTGACGGGCACAAAATGTGTTAGTGTATGATCTCACAAGCAGGATAACAAATATAACAAAAATGAATCGATTTCATAAGTAACATATTGACATGTGTCAGCATTTATAAATCTCTGATTAACGAGCACAAATAGAAAATAACTATATTGGAGATTAAAATAGACTACAAAGTGCAATTCAAGTAAATATGCTTATTTAAAAAATGAATCGATTTCATAAGTAATATATTGACATGTGTTAACATTTATAAACCTCTCACTAACGAACACAAATAGAAAATGACTATATTAGAGACTAAAACAAATAGAAAATGATTATATTAGAGACTAAAACAGGCTACCAAGTGCAATTCAAGTAAATATGCTTATTTCAAGAAAAATATATATGATAGGAATCAAGCATCATGTATTAAAAAATTTTTGTAAATAGGCTTGCTTAATCAAATAAAATTCAACTTAAAATGAAATGAGATTTGGTCATGGTAACTAAACCAAAATAGGTTTTTAATTTTGTCACTATTTCAAAATCGATAAAAATTATGTTTTAAAATTATAATTTAAAACCAAAAATAAAATCATAAATTCACTTACCTAAAAAATGAAGATCATAAATTTGAAATACCTAAATAATCAAGAACTTAAAATTTACATTAAATATTAATCAACAATTAAAAATTATTAATTTTAATTTAACTTAATAATATTTAATTTTATAATATATATTAAGATTGAGAGTGTTGATATTACTGTATCAACCTTTAAAATCTATCACCCAGTGCCATGTACCGGGCCACACCGCATACAGTAACATCGCAGCATTACCGGCCCCATCATTAGAGTTGTTGACAGTGCTAGGGGCACTTGCCTCTTGCACTCTCCGGCCTACACTTCCCCTTTCATTGGGCCACGTAAGCTTGTCTCAGGTTTTGAGTGCGACCTCTTACCGACCAGAATAACGTGACCCAATAAAAGTGAAAAAAAGTGGAAGTGTGGCCGGAGAGTGCAGAAGGCGAGTGCCCCTAGCACTACTCTTGTACAGCATTACCCACACGCAATCGCATGGGTGCTACTGTACAGCAGG